ACTGGCAGCTGCTCTAAGGTCACCCCGGAACCTTCTCTTCTCCAGGCTGAACAGCCCCAGCTCCCTCAGCCTGTCCTCGTAGCAGAGTCCAGACTCCCATCACCAGTGCATAGGGAACATGGGCAGCCCCTGCTCACCCCAGCACCCATCCCGACAGCTCACCGTGCCTGCAGAAACCACGGTCGTACCAGGGACAACCCATGGTGGTGGCATCAATGTGCAGGAAGGGACAGTCCTTGTTGCTGCACTCACCTGCGGGAGTAAGGGGTGAGACGGGTGCGACAGCGCTCGCCCAAGCCTAACACAGCAGAAAGTGCTCAGGGATGGGCTGGGTGGGAGGAACCGAGGTGCCCTGGGAGCACCCAGGCTTGGCTGAGGGAACTGTGGCCCTGGGTGGGTGCCAGCAGCGTTTCTTCCCGCAGACAGGAGGTGGCATCAGGCTCTTGCTCGAGGCCAGACCCGAGGGACATGGGTGCTGGGGTGGGAGAGGCTCCCTGCCCCATCCCAAACCTACCGAACTTGGAGTAGAAATAGCAGTCGGGCAGCTTGGTCACGTCGTACTCGGCCCCCCCCCAGCATCCCCCAGCTGAGGACATGCCAGCAGGCGCTTTCATGGATGTGAAGGTTTGCAGCACCCACTGGGTGCAAGGGGTTCAGTCCCCTGCGTGCTGCCAAGCTCTGGTTGCCCCGGAGGGGTTCAAGCCCTCCCTGGTGCAGAGGGGGTGGGAGCACCCACCCAAGGGGCTGGGGGAATGATGGACTCTGAGCAGCATCGGTGTTTTGGACCAAACCCTGCCAACCCACTGGCTGCAGGGCCACAAAGCAACCTGGCACGGGCTGGTCGCAGAGCAGAGAGGGGCTGCTCCAGCTCCCTGGTGTCCCTGGGGTCTTGCAGGGTGGTGTTGGTGCCATCCCCATCCCCTCCTGGCACTCACCCTTGGTGCGCAGCCCGGGGTGGAGGAGCTTGCAGACAGCCACCCCCAGCTCTGTGGGGGAAAGCAGGGCAGGGAGAGCTTCACCCACCAGCCCCAGTGCTGGGATCACTGCACCATCGAGGGTGAGAGCACCTCAGACCCCCCAGCAGCCCCCCCAAAGCTCTGCCAGACACATCCCCAAGGGAGCAATGCCCAGAGCCAGCCTGGCTGCAGGCAGGAGCCCAGGGAGGAAGCAGGACTGGAAGCACCCAGGCATTGTGGTGGGTGCAGCAAGAGCCAGCAACACCAGTAAGGAGAAGAACCCCAACACCCATCACCCTCCAAGGATGCCGCATGACCCAGAGCTGGGACTCACTGTCCGTACCCGGGAAGGGCAGGGGCCAAGCTCCTCGCCACTGCTCCGCATCAGCCTCCAAGCCCAACCTGATCTTCTCCACGCCAGCCACAATCTCCTGCATCGCCCCTGCTCCAGCAAGAGGCACCTCCAGCCCAGCCCAGGCCGGGAGCCCAGCTGCAAAGGGGCTGGCAGAGGGGCTGCGCAGGTCCCCCAAGGGAGCACCACGCTCAGCAGGTCACTGCAGCCAGCCTGAGCCCCAGCAGCACTCAGAAACCCTCCTCATCCTCCCCCCTGAGCCAGAACAAAACCCAACCCAGGCAGCAGCCCACAGCCCCACATCGGACCTCATTTTGCAGCCGTGATTGCCTGCTGCCGCAGCCCAGCTGCAGCGAGCTCAGCCCCGGGGCCCCCTCGCACCCCCCGTAATTGCCTCTCTGCCTCGACATCTGCTTCTCCTCCAGCCCCGGTGCTGGGGCTGCTCCTGGAGCAGCGGGGTTCGTGAGCTGGGTTAACCCCCTCGTGCTGGGGCTGCTGCTATAACTAATCGCTCCGATAGCAAGGGATGGATCCCGCGGGGTTTTTTGTTGCACCCTGAGTGCTTTGAGCCTTGCTGGGCGCAGAGCTGCGCCGTCCCCAGCCCCTCCCCAGCACCCGGTGACCGGTGGGACAGACCCACACCCCCCGGATGACAG